TGAAAGCAGATGTATGGTACTACCTCTGTTCACTTTTATAAGACGTTTTAGACATTCAGACACTGTCCAAAACAGTACAAAGCAAGCTGTCTGAAACGTCTTATAAAAATAAGCGGAGGGAGTAGCACGAATCATTTCCTGCATCTACAGAACCACTTCAATCGATTGGTGATGAGTGGGTAAACTGATCAGAGTTCTGCGAAGGGACCATCAGGAAAGGAAGGACGAACATAAGCGACCAAGACGGAAGGTATACATACGTAAGTACAGTGATTAACTGGAGAAGAAGAAGAATGGAACGAGCAAAATCAACAAATATACCTGGGTACAGACCGATGAGAGTGCTGCAAGGGGAGATCTGCGTTAGCAACTTAGCGTGAACAGGATCACTTCAATCATCAATGCTGCAAGAACAGATCTGCCCATGCTGATTAACTGAAGAAGAAGAAGAAGAAGAAGAAGAAGAAGAATGGAACCAACAAAATCTTGAGATTTATAAGGTTTCCTTACCAGATCCAATTGGAACATACTCGAGCCGTCCCCCCCTCCTCTGAAAAATGCACTGCAGGCTGTGGCTATGACTGCTCTCTCCACTCCAGTATAGTGTCGGCCTCAAAGTAGCAATAATTCATGTGCCAAGACATGAGCTGGCCCACTGGCCATTACTACTTTCGTCTTGTCATGTCATGTCACACTTCTGTAGCTACTGGCCCCATTGACTAGCTGTACCATTCAACTGTTGGTCTTGTTCAGATTAGCTCATCTTTTTCAGCAGCTCATGCAAAGTTTTAAAAACATAAGGCTTAGCACTTGTTGTTCAGATATACGGATTAAATTTGTTATGCAGGCCTACAGTATCACCATGCTTTCCAAGAAACACGCAACTCCAAACTAGTCATTGCAAAGCATGTTTACATGCATATAAACAGACTCATCCAAAAATTAAGTGGAGATATATAGGGCTATTTATATCCAATAATAACACAAGCTGTAAAAAAAACTTTCAGTAGTACAAAATCTCTAAAATTTCTACCCCATAGGAAAACCTGGGGATTCAAACCTTTTTTTTATCAATACCAAGCTATACTTCGATTACCATGTGACTGTTTTATTTTGCAAGAGAGCTAACCATGGAAAATATGTAATCACGTAAAGTCCTTTTTTTGCGGGTGATAATCACGTGATGTCCAACCCAAAGAAAAGAAGAACAAAAACTAGTCTCAAGATGTACGGCAAAATCTGCACATACCACAATGGCCAGTACAGATCACCTAAAAGAGATTTGCGACACGGTTTACAAAACCACTGACTTGTTTGATCACAGTTAGTCCAAGCAATCAAGTAAGTTCAACTTGGGGCTAGAGGATAAGAAGAGAACGCTTGTGAAGAATACTTAAGAGATGCGCATTAGCTAGCTGCTCCCTCCGTTCCAAAATAGATGACCCAACTTTGTACTAACTTTAATACAAAGTTGAGTCATCTATTTTGTACAAAGTTGGGTCATCTATTTTGGAACGGAGGGAGTAGTTATGATCCCTGATTCTCGTGAACAACCTAGCAGCCCAGTGGGACAGCCTTCTCTTCAGTGTGAAGCTCACCACGATGCCAACAGCACGCAAGTCGAAAGAGACACAACCCGACTGCAATGCAGATTACCAAACAAATGTTAGTTGCAGGGAGCACAAGAAGCATCAAGGTTACTGTTATAGATTTATATGGACAAAATGTAATAATTGCAGCCTAAATCTACAAAAGAAGACTAGAAAGATGATGCCAAATGTGGAAAACATGGGAGCATTTAACTCTTTAACACAGATGCATCAATCTCGGCACCTTGGTGGACATATGCAGCTTTGCTCAGCAACTGAATACCGCTCTCAACATTGCCTCGGCTCCTAACCCAGCTTTCATGCTCAACGTTTGAACTAGGGAATTTCAGTAAAACTTTCAACTCAAATTTGTAATAGAAACCCAACATAAACCGAACTTTCAACTGCGCTGGTTCAACTTTCACCTAGGGGCATCAAGTACTTTCCAATCAATTAGAAGCCCAACAAACAGACCAATGTTTCAGTTAGGATGAAAGAGCAACTAGATCAGGTTTGCACAGATTTTGGGGGCTAATTTCACCTGAAGAGCTATGTCTTTCAATCCCCCACAGACACTAATCACAGGAGGCGATCCCACTGTCATCATTGGTGAAGGACTGGCGCAACACCGTGAGGTGCACCGTTGTAGCATGGCAGGTCACAGGAGGATACGCGTGACGGCGTGAGGCAGTAGCACCGTGGGTGTGGAAATGGGCAACAAGCCTAGGGGTTTGCATGGGAAGGAGGGCAAAGGGGACATCGTAAGCTGCCATGGAAAAGAAGGATATTATTTTTCTTTTTCTTTTGCAGGAATATTGCAGCAGACAACAAGAATCAGGCAGCTGCGGTCACCTAATCGTCATTGCTAAGAAGTACTCCCTCTGTTCCTAAATATAAGTCTTTTTAGAGATTTCAATATGAACTACATACGGATGTATATAGACATATTTTAGAGTGTAGATTCACTCATTTTGCTCCGTATATAGTCCATATTGGAATCTCTAGAAAAAGACTTATATTTAGGAACGGAGGGAGTAGCAGACAGAAACATCATGATTTACTGTTAATTGGATGCCAGGCTGTCAGCAATTGCCTACTGTTGTGATGTCAAAGCTAGAAAATATGGATGTGCCGTACAAAATTTACTAAAGTTGAGCAGTACATATGCACAGATACATGGAGAGCTTCTATTTGGTGGTCATACGATACAATGTTTCGTTAAGCAGTGAACACTGACCATCCTCTGTTCTTTGCCCAGACTTTTAAAACAATTCGAACTAGACGTGCTCGTCACCTTGAAATAGGGAACTCAGATTCAAAAGTTTCATGGAAACACCCCATGAACATGCCAAGTTGACCTATCTATGCCACTACATTAGCCAAATTACACAGAGAGTTGCATCATCCTAGAAAGTATAATCAGATGAAAGGTAGCATTCCAGCACAATAGGGGCCCCAAATCAAAGTGATGTACTCCGTACCAACAAATCAAGCAAACTCAAACATGAGGCCCAGGAGAGCACCGGTCGAATTAGAGGATGGGGAAATGGAGAAGTTGTACATACCCTCAGAGAAGGCAGCGGCGGCGCACGAGGAGTCGGTTGTATATCCTGCATCGCAGCCTACAGCTTCTCATCACTGAGAAAGCCAAATGCACCTCCATGGACCCTTCCTTCTCTTAGCCACGCTGATTTGGGCAAGTGTTTAAAAGCAAACCGACAGATATCTCAGCCTGGCTTCTTCAGCTTCAAACTGTAAAAGACAAGTAAATTTAGGATCAATTGTTCTTCCTGATTCCTGTGATTATCTTTTGTGTGTCTACAAACATATAAGTATGTGGCTGTGCAGCTCTGTTCGGATTTATCTTTTCTTGGAAGATGAATCAATTATCCACATTATCATTGTGCTATGGAAAGTTGACAGGAAAAAAAATTGCTTTCAGTAAAACTTTTTTATGAGTCAAGAAATCCAATACGAATGCATAGAGATATATAAAAGAAACTAACACTCCCCATTGATAAACAGAGCAACTTGATCTCAACTAGTTTGGAAAGACAAATGTGATTGATAAGAGCGATA